CACCCGGCAGGAGCCTCCGCCGCCGCACGAGGCGCCCGCGCCGCGCCGCACGGTCCGCCTGGAGCTGGTGCTGAAGGACCCGACCGAGGAGGGCTGCGTGGAGTTCAGCTACCCCGAGCTGCTACTGTGCGGGGACCCGCGGGTATGCGCGGGGGCGGGGGGCCGCCCGGACTCTGTCCTGCGAGGGCGGTGCCGCTTCTCTGTCGGTTCCTTGTTTTGTCGGTTTGCTTGGTTTTTTTTTTTGTTTGTTTGTTTGCCCCTGCCTTCGAGCTCGGTTGAGACCCTTCCTGTCGCTCTCTGCCTGCCAGGTCTGGGGAAGGCCTTTTTTCCTCCCTAGGTCTCGGGGCACACTGCGAAACAAGGGCACGGAGCTGCCTTGGGGGTGGGGAACAAGGCCAGTAAGCCTAGCATGTTTCACTGGTGCTTGCCAGGCTGGGAGCAGCGAAATGAAAGTGGTCTGAGCCCAGGCCCAGAGCTGTAACAATGCAGGAGAGGGGTTCCTGCAGGTTTGGGACGCAGATGTGGACGAGAGAGGTTGTGAACTCAACCCAAACTGCTAACAATGGCGTTGATTGGAAAACACACGTTCTGCACCAGGAAAAAAAAAACAACCCACGTGGCTTAGCCTCCGTTTCTGTGCTCGTCAGAGAAAGTTTCTCCGTGCCACTGGAATCTTTCCTGGAAGGGAAAAAGGATTGTTTCCATAATCTTGCTAGGAGGCAGAAAACCCATTTTGATTCTCAGGGACTGCCATGTAGAGTGAAACTGGCTGAGGAAGATCGCTTTGTTTCTGAGTGTTGTACTGCTGTCCAGCAAAATATGCAAGTCCTTCCTACCCCAAGATGTAATCATAGTGCAAAGTCTCTAGGTGATTTATGTAATCCTTGGTCTTCTCTCTTCTGGGATGTAGAGAAGTCTGGTGTTTTGCATATATATTTAGGAAGGGGCAAAGAATTGACTGATGCAGAAAATGTTCTGGTTACAGTGGAGAAGCTAATAGTCACTGTGTCCTGTACCAGTATCTAAAATATTTGTCAAGGATGTCTACATGATTTGAACATCCAGCAGCAGTAATCTTTAGATTGAGAAATCCATAAACTGTTTGCCAGAATCTTTCAAGGAGGTATAACATAACCTTCCTGCTGCTTGGTTGCTCACTCTCAGTGTTGGGAAGAATGGCATCACTCCCACTTCAAATGGAAACAATTGGAGAAAATCAACATTTTTGTTTTTTAAAGTTCTTGGATCTTTCTGCCCAAGTAAGGGGGCTAGTTCTCTTCTCTTTCTACAGTTGTTGTGAACAAACAGTGCTAGCCCAGGTCACTCAGATGGCCAATCTCCACTCTAATGGAGGGGTGCTGCTTTACTGCTTATAGAGCTGTATGAAGTATTTCAAGTACTTCATTAGCTCCTTTTTGTAGGATAGAAACTATATTAATGTTTAGAGGTTTCATATCTGTGGAGCTTCCCTGTGCAGGTCTTGTGCATTCTCCATTAGTCCAGTTTTCCCTGTAGGTTGGTCTCGGTATGTTTAGTGGTTCTGGCTTACATAGATATGCATATTGCAGCTGGTAGTTCAGCTGCACTACTTCTGTTTTCCCTTTGTGGCCAAGATCAGTGTTTTGGCCACTGTCACTTGCTATGACTCTGCGTACACTCAAAAGTTGTACTGATGAACTATATTAGCATAGTAACTTCTACTGGGTAGGCAGAATTATGCTGGTATAAAGCCATGACTCCTAACCTTGGGGCATGACCCAAATCAAGGCTGCAGGGGGTCCCCCTCACTCCACCCCTCCCGCCTGCGGGACTCTTGCAGTACATGGTCCACGCAGCTCTTGCCGCTGGTGCCACTGGGCATGAGTGAGGTGGTGGCGGGGGTCATGCTGCGACCCTAAATCTGGGTCAAGAAAAGGTTGGGAGCCACTAGTATAAAGGTACTTAGTATTAACATAGCGTCTCCTCTCTGGAAAAGGGAATAACCTATATCATTTATAAGGCACCTTTATACTAATACAACTTGATTTACTCTAAGGTTGTACTGGTAGAAATACATTATTTAAAAAAAATGCACCTCTGACATAATTATACTAATAGTCCAACTTTCAAATGTAGACTGGGCCTTAGAAAAAATATGTGGAGTTAGTGGATTTTTGGTCCAGTTGGCATGAAAGAACAAGTGTCGTGTTCTGTTTGCTGGTTTCTTGCGGAGTCGTGACTCATAATTTACACTTTTTCTCCCTTCAACAATGTGAAACACAACACATTTTATGTTTTTTAAAGTGGTCTTGTGACCTGTTTATTCCTCCTCTGAAATTCCAGTGTACGGTTACCTACAGTCATTTTAACTACTATGTTGCTGTGGAGAAATTAATGCTTAAGCATTAATTTGATAAGAGAAAGGGAGGAGTGAGAGTCTACTTCATTAAAGTAAGAAAAGGAAAGAGATTTCAATTGCTTCCCTCAGTAATATGGCGGTACATTTATTTGGTATGGGTTTTTTTCCATGTTTGTTTTCCATTTTCTTATGCAACCATTAGTTTTGTTGAGGGTTTTTTTCACTTAAATAGCAGAAGAGAAAATAATCCTAGAAAATGCAAGAAATGTAGGGCTTGGATTATAGCAATCTTGTATGGCCCTGCTGGTTTCCAGTCTCATATCTACAAAAACGTCAAGTTTAATGGACATCAGAATATTGTAAAGCACAGAAGTATCAGGGATATGGCTTTCATGGTGGTAGAGCAGAACTAATTACACTTGTCAAGTGGAAGAGCTACATAGATGTATTGCCATCTAAATGTGATGGAGAAAATGTACTGAAATGAGGCTTAAGAGTGAAGTCCTGTGCCTGCCTTATCTTTCTATAGAATCTGAGAGGCTGTTTCCTCCTTTCCAACGGATATTAAAGCCTTAGATTTTAAACTTTTACATCATTTAGCTATATGTTATACTTTAAAATAAATTGTTTATATAAACATAGCCCTAAAAACGGCTATTGCACTGAGAAATATTAATGTTTGAAAGTTTTTGCTTATTCTTCACTCCCTTACATGGAGTTGCTGAACTTTCCTATGACTGCTCCCATTGAAAGTTTGATGTTGTGTAATAAAATTAGGAGCAAGTCTTGCTCTCTTGCAGTATCTGATGGAATTGCAATAGCCTGAGAGGAAATCCCATTAGGTTGGTTATTGCAAAGAGTATAAGGGCATTTCACACTTTGATCACTATAATAACTGATCTCTTGTTGGTGCATTGAGTAGTGACCCAAAATGTTAATGGACATGACAGATTGGTTCCTTTTCAGCTCTATAAATGAATTTTTGAATGAGAAATGGGTGGAAGTGCTTGTTGGAAGAAATTTATACTATCCTTGTTCTACTGTTCTGGGGTAAACTGAGGACTTCATCTGTCAAAACTCACTGGTAGCTCGTCTTGTCAGCACTGAACTAATTTTCAGGACAAAAGATTGTTCTGTGTGATCGGTAGATTGTCCTAGTAAGCAGCAGTAACATTTACTCTGAAATGTTGAGGAGCTCATTCTATTAAACAGAGGTGATGTTGCAAGCGAGTATGGCACTGACAGCAGAAATTAACCTTGAAATAAAGGGCTGATGTCCTCCAATACAAGGTTCTGCTTGATAAGTTTCTACCTCTGCTTCCCAGTATGGTGTTTTACTGTAACAATTTTAAAATGCTATTATATCTTTCTCAGCAAAAATGTAGACAGGGTGTCTTTTTTTTCTACCTAAGAGTGGCAGAGGAATGAAGTATATGAAGAGAGGAACACTGTAATCTGACAGGGAACTTCTGATACCCTACTGAATTTCTCAGTTCAATGGATGTTATAGGTGGAAATGTAGTTTTTTGAATCTCTTCTCTAAGCACTTGTTTTGAAGGTCCTAGTTCTTTAGAACTATGATACCTGCAGCTCAGCTTCACTACTGAACTGGAGAGTGATGGGTTAGCATTGCCAGTTCATGGAATGCTGCTCTTTCATATTCATGTGAAGGAACTTGCTTTTCTCTAAGTTTAGAACTACTTTTTCTATTGTAAAAGGATAACATAAAATTAGAATATAGAGGATGGGTTCAGTTAAATTAGTTAGCATCCATAAACGGCTCTATTAGCCTGAAGAATATTTCTGGACACTTGGTGGGTTGTGTTTTTTCAATAATTGTTGCATTCAGTACATAAACTCTGAAAATGCCACCCTGATTCTTCTGCTGCACCTTTATTTTCCTTAGCCCTTCTCCCAACCCTCCCTCCCCTGCTCCCCCTTCCCAAATAACTTGCATTTATTCTGGTATGTTTTTATCAGTTTTCTTATATTTGGCCATAGTTGACTTAAGTTTGGAGGGGGGTGGGAGCCACCAAGGCCCTCTTCCCAAATGTGTGCGAACACACATCTCTTTCCTCTCCTACTTATTCACATTGAGATGATAATTTCTAGTTTGGAGTAGCCCTGTGGTTGCCACAATAGCAGACTCGGATAACATGTGCTGTAATTCCTCACTGTCTAAAAGAGCAGAAAGAAATGGGTAGTTCCTGTCCCAGCTCTCCCAAATGCTGAAGTTTTCCAGATAAGATACTTGTAGAATACATTGGAGTCTGCTGACATTAATTGTCAGCAAAAGAGAGATGAACTGAAGGGAGTAGAAAGGGCAATTGTAGCTTAGAGTGGTATTCTAAACACATCATGCTGTATTTAATAGCTTTTGGAAGTAGAAAAGTTTTTTTCTGTAGGTTAAATTAAGCAGTCGCCACCAGAATGTGATTTACTGGTGTTAAAATAAGTTCTCATTTAATCATAACTGTTCTATATAGGTTTTCCTTTGTAATGTAATGAATGAAATTCCCATCTTTTTTTTTCTCTTAGAGAAAATCTGCCCACTCAGAAGATCTATTTAATGATGAACAGCATGAACGGCATGAGGTGGAAATGCTGGCCAAGAAGTTTGAGGCAAAATATGTGAGTGTTCATAGAGCTACTATATTACAAATATTTAATAGTATTTACTGATGTTAAATAATAGGGGCTCAGTTTTTCCTAGATGTGGGGTTGCTGCTATGAATTCACAACTCTATTTCTCTATGTACATCAATGGGGTTATTTCATTTGCTAAGTTTGTAATGGAGACACTTTTTTGTCTACTGAGGCTCTATTGTTTTAAAAGAATGTGACTTGTTACTGAATGTTTGCTTGTGTGTATACTATTGAATGGGTTTCCTAAACGGCTGTGCCTGTAGTTCAGAAGTCATGATAGATCCCACAAGGGAAAATGGATTCCTGCTAGTCAGTACTGGGAGGAGACAATATCACAAGGAAGTGGTGGTGGCCCATTTTCCCTCTACTTCTGTACAACTGCTCATTTTAAAGCCAGTTTTTTTCTTCCTTTGTCTTTCTAGAAGCCACATGGTAAAAGTCTTCCCCCCCCTCCCCGTGCTTCTAGCCCAAGTAACCA